CCAGCACCGATGATCACAATCCTTTTCTTGTTAAGCGGGACTTCTGCCTCTACGTCTTCTTCTTCTTGTCGATCGTTCGTCGCTGGAAACTCTACACAGCCAAAGTTGATATACCCGCGTCGTAACAGCCAATCGTAACATATACTTGCGACGTCAACCCATCTGGCACCAGCGCAACCAACCGCTTCGTTCCTTGTCACTGCAACACGTGGGTTATTGTACCAGAGCCGGAGGATGCCGTTCCTGATATTCAGATACGTGGTGACTTGAACATGGCTGATGTGTTGTCGCAGCATCTGATATTCTTCCTGGTGCAGGGCATACGGGTTTAGTCTCGATGACTCGGCTGCTTCTATGCATTGCCTTGCATATTCATAGCTTGATAAATTCGAGGGTATGGACGACTTCGGCTTCACGTTGAAGGTCTGTCGCAATGCCTCGCGTACCGGAGGGGTCTCTGCTGACGGTATAGACTCTTCCGTATGCCCGTCCAATTCAACAGGGGTCGTTGCCTTACTAGACACCGACGGCGGGACCGATGAAAGCTCAGACTGGTCGTGATCAGACAAATTGGTCATCGGCGACTCGAAAGATTCGTGAGGGGTATCGTGTGACTGGATGCGGAGGGTCTCTAACGGAGCAGCCGCGTCCTCGGGCATTGGTGAACTGATCGATGGTCAGCTAAACTCGATCTCGAGCCTCCCAGCATTCATCTGATGAAGCCAGGATACCATCGTGAAAAGATGCCGTAGTGTATCACCTACTCAGGGTCCGATAATGTGCCGGAAGGATGTTCCGCCTCATCCAGGCTTGAGTCATCCAGGTCCATGTCCATGTCTTCTGTCCACACGACGATTTCCGGGGCAATTTCTGAAATTGCTTCTGATGAGATTCGACTTGACGGCGTTGGTGTCGTCGATTCTGATAAGTGTGAAGTCGATATCCGACTCAGCATCGCACTGGCCCTCGAAGGCGTGAAGTCTGATATATGTGAGGCCCGATCCGGAAAATCCATCAATGATCCCTTCCCAAACCCCGGTTCCTGCTTAACCCGAGATCTCGGACTTGATCTCATATTTCAGTCGTCGACACGGATTGAACTCGAGTATGAAAGATGGATATATATGTTGGCGCAGGCGGATGGTCGGTGATGATGAAATCTGCTCAGTCTGAGTCCCGACCAGGGTGTTATATGGCGGGTCTAGTCCCGAGTCGATAACATGTTACGATATCTCAGGTAGACCCGGATAGTCTCGCTGTATAAGCCTGGTCAGCTGATTTAAGTTCTCAGGCTCACAGGACTTGATATAAGACGAAGCAATTGCAATGTACTTACCTTTTGACTGCGGAGACGCCACTTGCCCCAGCTACAGGGCACTGTCCCGTGTTCGGTGCTTGATTGAGCCGTCCCGATGCAGGTCAAGTCGCGGTATACCGAAAAGGCACTGGGTGAGTTGCAAACAACTCAGTCTATTGTTTGAGACAAGTATGTTGAGAAATCAAAAGTAACCCGGTCATAAAAGGAAGTCGTCAGGTACATGACCCGTTGAAATCGCTAAGTTCGGCATTGGACATGAGGAGCTCAAGCGTTCGAGACAAAAAAGGTGGGTCACGTGATGGGCCTTTGCTCCCGTCAGTCGCAAGCCACCCGACCTGACACAGTGCTATATGGGCTGACTGCAGGCCCGAGCCAAAACCGGCAACACCACTGAAGTTCAGGAAGGCACTGACTCGAGGGGCCAGACTGCCGGCTAGCAACACCCAATATTCACGACGAGCAATGATGATTGCTTCTAGTTGGGAAACACTTCTCCACGAGAAGCTCATTATCTGTATGTTGGTCGTATCTTCAAATGCCGAATACGGCATTCCTGTCTCTCAGCTCTACCAGTCTTCCACCACAAACCCTGCGCCCTTTCTCATGCAGTTGGGCTCACCGGCTTGACGTTATCTCTTGCAAACGAATCCTTCTCAATTGCCGCATCCATCATTCGGTCTCCGCTAATGATCGATGTTGTGCAGATGACGATGTTTCTCCGAGCTACGAATGATACAGATTAGTTTGGCAATGCTTCACGAGATAAGTTCAATATGGGTAAATACCTTCTTCCTGCTTTGCAATGAACCGCAAAGCAGCGATTTCGGTGAATGTTATACCTCCGACGAACACCACAAATACCGTTTGCTTCTCTGTGCCTCCCGAAAGCAACGCTCGAGCTTTGACGGCCTTCTCCTCACCCTTTTGCAGCTCGTAGAATGTCTGCCCGCGGACGTGCTTTACGGCCTCGTCGAAGCCGTGCCAGCCCTGAGCCGCGGACGCTCCTGTCGCACCACTTGCGCCATTGCCTCTGGTGACTTTGAGCAGATACTGCTTTTGCAGCACACATTGTACAAGACGGATCGACAGTGGCGCATACCCGCTGTATACATAGGCGATGTCGTTTGGATCGTCTTCCTGAACTTCATCGACGATGAGACGCAGAAGTTTGCGGAGATACGTGTAGTTCGTCTTTGTCCCTGTTGTGTTGCCACCAGAGCCAGTCATCGGGATCATTTCTGCCAATGGAGAAGAGCGCGACAAGAATAATTGAAGCTTCTCGAGGTTATTAAGCGTGAGGATGTGCTGATAGCCGTAGCCCTCGAGGATAAGTCGTCGGAACTGGTCGAATTCCTTCGGTTTGATGCCGCCTGATATGCATGAGTAAATGCAAAGCAGCCTCAGCACTTCTGGTAACGGTGTGTCGCGAGCGATTAATTCCTCGATGGCTTCGAATTGTGAGGAAGGGTCCGCGCCAGCAGCTAGATTCTGCTGAGCTTCCAAGAGACCTTTGAACTGGTCTGTCCGTGTGTACTTCATGACCTCCTCTGCTAGACCTGTATGTATGCGCAGGCTTTGCTGCTCCGCTTGATATCCGGGCAGCTTACTGACAAAGTCCTTGAGCTCAGCGATGGATTTGTGGCTGTTTCGTCCTTCGTAGTCCTTTTGCAAATTCTGAAGTCGCCGAGCGACTTTATTCAGCAAGCTACCGACAATGGCGAAATTTGTGTCGCGAAGTTGTTCGTATAATTTATCAGAGGAATCCAGCTGGATTTTGCGTTTCCTGGCTTGCGCGCTTGTCGCTGAGGATTGAGAAGGGGCACCGACAACTGTCGTATCAACTTCAGCTTGGTTGTTCTGGATGCCGAATACTTCGTCGATGAGTCCCTCGTAGGTCAGTTGAGTTAACAGAGGAGTGACAAAATCCACTTCGCGGTCGATTATTATAACGCTTTCGGTGAGTGTGCTTGGTGCCAAGCCACCTCGATTCGTCTCGTTCGCATCCTCGCCCGCAAGTATCTCTTGTCGCATTCGTGCTAGGAGCTCCGCAACTCGTTTTGCGTTGTCGCCTTTGCCGATGATTCGGGGAAACAAGCCGTGATTCTGTTGGATCTCCATCAATGCCTTGGCGAGCAGGAATGACGGAGTGACATCTTTCGAGAGATACAGGTCGCGGAAAGACTCATCCAACTCGAGGGAGAGAAGATCCTTCTCAAGCGGGAAGAAGTATAAAGGCAGTTCAGAGATGTTCACGTCGCCCAATACGCCGGCCTCCTCGAGCAACTTGTCGGAGACGAGTGTTCGTCGAGGCACCCAGAAGATGTGGAATTCATGGCCTGTTTGGCTCTCTCGCTGTAAGCGACGGATCTGCTCTGAGAGGTTGTTAGCATGAAGTGCCGCTCACCCAGTAGCATGGAGATCGGCTGCAAGAAGCCTCGCCACCAAGCACTGTCTTTCTCGGCAGACCACGGATGATGATCGCACGAGTAAGCCTAAGAAGCTTCGTAGAAATCCGATTGGAAGTGAAAGAGAATGTGAGATCCGGATAGTGAAGGGTGCTGACCTGCTATGGCTGACGCATGGCGAGCGCACTCGCCGCGGGCTATGAAGATGACATTTCGCTGGCTGGTGTCGGCGTTCTTGTTCTCGAGGAAGAAGAACTTGTCTACGCCGTATTCCTGGAGAGTAGCGACCTTGACGATGGTACTGATCGGGCCCGCTAAGCTGCGCTCAAGAATGAGGTTCTTCTTCCCCCGGACCTGGAAACGCCGAGGTTAGCTCACGAAGAACAGGCAGCCGGGGCGAAATGCCTTACTTACAGCCTCGAGCAGGTAGAGGAGGTCCTTGCGCGCTTTGTCCTTTATCTGGTCCGTATTGAAGCCAGCTCGAGGAGCCATTTTCAGTTCTCCATGCAACTGGCACCGGGTGTTGTTTCGTGGAGCGCAGATTGACCGCTGCTGGGCGAGGTGACGTGGTCGGGGTAAGGTGAGGTAGGTAGATGGAACGGTGACGGAGAGCTGTGGTCGCAAAGCACCTGGAGCTATCGGGTTGAAAGATTAGATTGGCTACCTCAGTACGGGAATCTTGCACAGAGAGCATTTGCGTCAGCGGGGCCAGGCCACCAGGGTGATTTAGGTGCTACGCTACCTCACAGTGCAGGTGCTCTTTCGGGGAATTCCATGCCGGATCAGTGGGGGCCAGTCACTGTGTCCGGCCCGCTATCCAATCCGCCAGGTCGATGAATGTCTCAACCTGGAAATGTTTCCAGAAACAATGCTTCGCGATCGTTGGTCGCGACGGTTTATTCTGCAGACTTGCAGCATGAAAGCTCTAGAATATGATCTACTTGCTAACATGATGCGCAGTCGAGGTCACCTAGGATGTATACCTTACATGGCCAAAAAAAAGCATGGTCCGCTGATCCTACCAAACATCAACATGGGTGTCAATACCGTCCTCTACGGATGCGATCCCGCTCGTGACACAATTTTCCCGGCTGATCTCTTCGAGATATCGCTCCACGAAAGCTGACGAGGGCCAAAATCGCCTTAGTCACCTCATCTTCTCCCCCTCAGCCGAGCACCAGCTCCTGAACACTCCGCTTGTCCTGGGGTCCCCTTCTGTATGCCGAAATCCGATACAACGCCATACCCAACCCTGCCGCGCAAATGTCTTGTGTTGTTCAAACGGTGTTATCGTGATAGTAGAAGTCAATATCTCTAGGGCGCAAGCGATTGCTCCGAACGAACTCGTCATCTCCCGCCGGCCGCTCGTTCTTTTCGTTGCCTGTTAACATGCTCTGTATACTCATGCAGACGCTCTCGACGTTCTGTACGGGACTCCAGCCTTGGCTGCCGAGCAAATCGAGACAGATGATGCCATTGGAGTAGATATGAGGGTGCATGGGAATCGGTCGCTCGGTGGTCTTGACGAAGGTGACCTCTGGGGGTTCTATAGACCAGATTATGTTACTTGGGGAGGTACTGAGGAGCTGGTATGCGCTGAGAGGCATACCTATGGGATATTGTTGGGAGAACTTGAATTTCAGCCTGTAAACCTGGTCTTTATACAGCGGGTTGTCGTCCAAGACTTTGATGTCCATGATCCATTCTTCGAAGTTGTCGGCCGAGATGAGCTCGATACCGGGAGGCAGGCCAGAGTTGAGCTGTGAGAGTTAGGAAGATTCCTGAGGCGAGCGCGCGCAATGCGACAAGGTGCAAATGGATCGATCGCGGGACGGACAGGTTGAGGTAGCGAGCTGGGCGTGAGGTTACGAACCTTGGACAACTCTTTGGCCAGCCGCTTGGAAGCAAAGCTGGAAGCCATTTTGAAGGGCGATCGAATGGGCTGGAGGAGGATGAAGCCCAGGCGAAAGTGGCTCGACGAAGGAAAAGGGAGAAGTTGAGCGAAGGAGAAGTTGTCAGTCGGCGGCTCGAGAAGCAGCCCAGGCAAGGCAGGCGGGTTGCGGCTCGCTGCTTGCTGAGGGGCTTGTTGGTCGCTTGGAGGGGCTGCCCAGAGAGGAGGACCCCACGAATTGGTGGTTCCTGCCGAGAACAGCAGCCAAAAGTGTCCAGGAATGTGGGAAGCAGCCGATGCGGGAGCCAAATCCCAGGGTCTAAACCTGGGGGTATTAAAGAAAGCCGGATGCAAATCAAAAAGGACGGCAAAGCAAACACGCGCCCAACAATGAGAGTGAACGAGCCAAGTGTGCAGCAACGTCAGTTGTTTGGTCGGTTTAACAATGTTGAGACACGCGGGCGTGTTGGAGACGGTCCACGAGTTACATGCGTGGACGGTGGACGGTGGCACTTAGCTCTTTACGTAGCACGTAGCACTCAGGTGCTCTATAGGTTGTTTACTGTATGAAGTACCTGTGTACTGCGTACACAGATTAAAGTACTGTACTGGAAAGCTGGAACACCTTACCTAAGGCTTTCAAGGTCCAAATGACGCCGCGGGGGAGGATTGGCGGCGGCTCAATGCATCTTGAACCGATGCGAATGCGCGTGCTGTAACCCAGTCGCAGGCCCGGTGGATCCACTTTTCTCAATGCCAGTGACAGCCCAAAAGCATTGCATCTTTGAAGAGCAAGAGCAAGAGCGGCCAGGGACAGCCTACCTACAGGTACCTTGCCTTAGGTACATATTCGTTGTGTAAGGCAGTCCCGTTATCAATAGCCTCTCATAACTGGGCACCTATACTGAATTCTTTGCCATCAATCTTCTTAGCCCTCAAGAATAGGTAGGTATATGTATCAACATCAAGACAGCAAGGCGCTGCAATGATAGATGAGCATGCACTTCCGTCTAGACGTAGTCATATGTCACGCGCCATTTCTGAGGATATTGCGGTAGAGTCTGCCAAATATATGTGCTTCTGGAATGTCACACATGTCTCTACCTTAGCCAGCAAACTGCTTTCTGTCTGAATCATTTCCCTGCTTGAGGGCCGACGTTCAACCACGCCAGACTCAAACACCCAAATTGTCATTGATGACGTCTGCTGGCGAAAACACTTCATGGGCCAGGCTAGGAGGATACATGCAGAGTATAGATCAGGCTTTGCTGAGCAACACTGCAACTCTGATCTATGGATGTCTAAATATTGACAGGAGGGAGCCATCGACACTGCAGCTGTCGACTAATCGGATACCATACCCAGCATGCCTCGTCCACTTAAGATCGAAGATATGGGATCATCTACCTCTGAAGATGCGGTTGCAAGCAGGTCGAATCGGAGGTTAAGCCTTACGACCCAGCAAACCCAATGAATTGGAGCCTGGAAGTAAGAGTCAATGCCTGTCATAGGCGCACGAGGGTGACAGGGCAGCCAGCAGATAGGTGCAAGGTGGAAAGAGTGGCCTCCTCAGCCACACTTCGGCGGCTCCCTCATCCTCCGATGTGTGCCTCCATTGCCTCCATTGCCTCCACAGCTCCAGTCGTTTTGATCGTTCAGGATACGGCGGTCCACTCCAAGACGCCCAGGACCCTTGTCCATCATCGTTAGTGCTCGTGGATGCCGTCGCTCATCCACGGCCATGTCCGTGCTCTCCCTCTTCTTCTGCGGCCTGCCCCTCATTTCTCTGCGGCTGAGCATCCTTTTCAATTCTTACCAGCCCACAAGGCTCACTCCAGCCTGCCATGACCCCTGAATCTTGTTCCCGGTGATGCCACAACCGCCTTTTTCGTTTTTCTGTGCACATGCTGGAGCTGTACAGCCTGAAGGTTAGGTTAGGTTGCCTCCAGGAGGTATGCTGTGTAGTGACTTTACCTTGGTACCTTTACCTGCCCCCTACAGATAGGCTTTACAGATAGACGCAGCACATGAATATATGTATTCAAGAGCCATTCACCCCCAGACCCGGGGACAAGAAGTACCTATTCTCATTCTACCAACAGTTGCAAGGTGCTTGATCCCAAGAGTACCTCTTACGCTCTTACTTCCCGCTTTACCCCACCTCCCCCTCAACCCAAGCACCAAGAGCTACCAGCACCCCGACGACCCCCCTCCCGAATCCCGTCCAGTCTACCTGGGAAGTCTCCATCAGCAACCGCTGCTTCTCTGTCCTGTCCAGGGTCGAGCCTTCTTTCTGCTCGATTTTTCTACTCCAGACCTACGCCAGCCTCAAGCTCTCCCTCATAAACGTCGTCTGCACTCCCACCGCTGACGCCCGCCTCTTCTCGGTCCCATCATCCCCAAGGCTGTGTCTGTCCGATCATTCCACACACACACAACTCTCGCTGCGACCGATAACCCCGCCTCAAAAATGAGTTGTAAGTTTTTGGATCGAACTGCTCTTCTGTGATCTTGCCAGGTCGTTGTCCTGCTCTGCCGTGATTGCGAACATGCTACCTCGCGCAACACTTCTCCAGTCCTACTGCTCCCAATCCACAATCAATGCTGACCGCACGCTCGCCCACAGTCTCCAATATGCTCAGCAGGCTCCAGGGCCAACCCGAGAGCTACGATAAGAAGTACGAACAATTCCAGACCAATATCTAGATACCATATCCTGACGTCCTCTCTACAGGGCTAAATATCGCTTCGGTCGCACTCTCGGAGCTGGAACTTACGGTATCGTCCGTGAGGCTGACGGTCCTACTGGCAAGTGCGCCGTCAAGATTATTCTCAAGAAGAATGTGAAGGGCAACGAGAGAATGGTCTACGACGAGCTGGACATGCTCCAGCGTCTGAAGCACCCTCACATTGTCAAGTTCGTTGACTGGTTTGAGTCGCGTGTGAGCAACCCTCCGCTGCGAAGCCATGCCCGGACTGTCAAAACTGACAACTATCTTATAGGACAAGTACTACATCGTCACTGAACTAGCTACTGGCGGAGAGCTGTTCGATCGTATTTGCGAGCAGGGCAAGTTCACGGAGAAGGATGCTTCGCAAACCATCAAGCAGGTCCTCGAAGCCGTCAACTACTTGCACCAGAACAACGTCGTACACAGAGGCAAGTTTTGCCATTATAACTTGGGTGCCCATTTCTTTCTAACTAGTAGATCAGACTTGAAGCCCGAGAACCTCCTGTACCTTACCAGAGATATGGAGTCCGATCTCGTCTTGGCCGATTTCGGTATCGCCAAGATGCTCGACCGCAAAGACGAAGTCCTCACAACAATGGCCGGTTCCTTCGGCTACGCAGCCCCTGAGGTCATGTTGAAGAAGGGCCATGGTAAGCCGGTAGACATGTGGTCCATGGGTGTCATCACATACACTCTGCTTTGCGGTTACTCTCCTTTCCGCTCGGAGAACCTCCAGGATCTTATCGATGAGTGCAGTAATGCTCAGGTCGTCTTCCACGAGCGTTACTGGAAGGATGTCAGCGATGATGCAAAGGACTTCATTTTGCATCTTCTGCAACCAGAGCCCGTCAAGCGCTGGTCGAGTGAAGTATGTACCAGCCCTGCACCAATGTCGACAAATAAGCACTGACAATGACAACAGGAAGCTCTCCACCACCCGTGGCTCAGCGGAGAGAATGCCACCGACCACAACTTGCTGCCCGAGATCAAGGCCTACATGGCCAAGGCCCGTCTTCGCCGCGGTATCGAGATGGTCAAGCTTGCCAACAGAATCGAGACGCTCAAGGCACAAGAAGAGGATACAGAGGACTCAGACTTCCCAGCCGACGCTATCAGCGCCGCAGACCAGTCCAAGCACGTTGGCGCACACGAAGTTGCCACTGGCGAGAAGCGCAGCCTTTCCAAGACGATCAAGGGCGCCATCTTCCGTGAGGTCGTCCTTGCCAAGGTCCGCGAGATGAAGCAGCAGCAGGACACACTCAAGGTGAAGGAGGATGCGGAGAAGGAGCACAGAAGACGCAGCTTTCAGGGATGAGAAGTGACGCACGTCTCTGTATGGCGACCTGGGCGAGTCAGTCAGGACTCAGGAAGATGATACCACACGGGTTGGATGATACAACGGGCCACTGGTCGCGGCTCAGCAGCGGCTTTGAAGTTTTTTTAAGTTCTTACTGCTTTTCGTTGAGCACTCATTTCGTTTCAAGCCGAAGATACATGGCTAGATGAGCGCTATATGTTTGTTGCTTTGCCTGGGCGGGCGAGGGGGGACAGAAAAGCCGGGGACAGATATGACTTTGAGCAACACCCATCACTTCTTCCAGATTCGGATCTCTTCTTACGCATTACTACTTGACCTTTGGTGAATCTTGCATCCGTGGCATACAATATTTGAATGCTTTATGAAATGGCCATTCTTAGTCTCGAGCAATGAAAGTCTCGGTCACCAGCCTCTGGATTTGAGACTAGACTTTGGTAGAAGCAACGTATTCATGCTCTGCTACTTAAATGCATACACACAGGAAGTTCATCCCCTTCAACACAGTCTCCGTCATCAGCACAGCAGACGCCTTCCTAGGTCGGTTGGTCAGGTCAAATTGGGCTGGATGGGTGGGAGTGGTTCAAGGTCAACGACAATCAAATCACTGCCTATAGACTACTCGACGATAGGCCTTCTTCCCCAAGTTCCCCGAGTTTGATTTCCTAGAATGGGCACGGAGAGATGTAGTCCTACCCAATGGTAAATTCTTTATTGAGGGCAAGCAAGGCCCTTTCGATGCTAGTAGCCGTTCGAGGTAGTAAATATACCTATCGACTTGACCACACAGTCAGACATGGCCATCATCAGGCTCGTGTACGTGTATCCTGCCCCTGACTGCATCTACCTCTCCTTACCCTCTTGGTCTTCAGGTTTTGTCTTTCATACGCAACTCTCGGAGGGGACGCAAACCCTGACACAGGGAGAGGGAGAGAGAGCGTTAGTAATCAGTCACGGCACATGAAAGACTTTGAACGAGGTACTATGATGTTTATCAAGATGGAACTTTGCTATTTGGCATTGCTGCTACTTGAAGTCGGGGAGAAGGGGGTGAGTCCAAGATAGACTTCTCCGCTGTTCCTTCCACCCCTGTGCTCTCTACTAATACTACTACTAATACTACTAATTGTATTGTTTTGGGTTCGTAACGAGTCGTTGTTGTGCTTGTACAAGGTATATCGAGAGAAGTCCGAAAAGACAGAGACCACCAATTAAGTGCGCCGTCCTGCCCTGAGATGCTGCCGAACGGGGGGTGAGAAATCCCCCTAGATGCTTTTTGTTTCGCCGTGAAATAAATGGACGAGATTGCTTCAAATCATGGTACAGTAGAAGAAAGAGAGACCGGAGGTCGGTGGTATCATTGTAAACTGGAAACGGGTGGGGAAAAGTGCAAGATACGAGGAAAACGAGGGTTCGATCATCTGGAGGTGACGGTTCATTCCAACTCGGCGAGAACGCTCTCGCGAAGCGCCTCGTAACGGCCGATATCGAAGCGACGTCTTTGCCAGTTGTTCTGGCGCAGACGCTCAATACGGGCCTTGATGTCAAGATTACGCAGTTCATCGCTGAGCTCCGGGGTCGCTGCCCTGGCGGGGAGAGAGTGGCGTCCCGTATCGCTTTGCCGGGGTGCCGCGAGCTGCTCCTCGACGTTGGAAATGTGGACTGCGATCTGCGATCGTAGGCTGGAGAGCAAGCCGCAGTAGCGGTGGATGGAGCGCTCTTGAAGGAAGTCGAAGGCATCGCAGTCCTCGTTCAGGGGCTCGGGCGTTGTTGGCTTCGCAACCTCTTCCGCGGGCTCATCGGCAGGCTCGGGCTCCTCTTGGAGAACCGGGAGGTAGCGCGGGGGTTCGGGCTGTGGTGGGGCACAGAGAAAGTCGTCAAAGCCGAGAGTGGGAGAGTCGGGGCGGATGAACGGCTCTTCAGGAACGTCACAGAAGGTGACGCGCTTCTTTGGTGGCGGTTGGGTCGCGGAGAGCTTGTTCATGGCGTCCTCGACGGAGCACACGGACGGCGTGGGTGACGAGAAAGCGGTTGAGTTGGTCCACGTCCGCGAGGATGCATGGGACGAAGTAGAGCTCGAAGGCGAATGCATACTTGAGGTCGCCGCTGAGGATGGGCGTGAGGAGCGAGCCATGGTCTCATCCGCCGCCTTGCTCAGTTCCGAGGCTCGGGTGTAATGTTCACGAGCTTGTTGGAGAAGCCGTGTCCGATACGGCGAGGCGCATTGCAAAGGCCGGGAGAGCATGTCAAAAGAGCTGGCGGCGTAGAAGTGAAGATAGATGAGATAAGCCGGCTCAACGTTTGCCTATTGACTCGGTCAGTACAATCCCAAGCTACTTCAGATGAATGCGACTTACAGATTCCTTAATATTGTCTAGGATCTCACAACAACGCAAAGAGCATGGTCGGTACTTGCGGTTGATATACTGACGCTTGACCTCAGAGACAGCCTTGCTCCATTCAGCAGATGTATAAGGCAGAACGGGAAGCGGTGCCGGCTGCGATGCAGACCGCTTGTGCACTCGAGCCTTAGGAGGTCCAACTGAACTGGTGGCCATGGTTGGTGACGTTGCCACAGGCTGTGGTGTTGCGATGGGGGCGCTGGGCGACGGTGCTCTGTTGATAGGAAAAATAACGCTGCCACGGGAGCCGGCGGCAGCGGGCTTAAGGAGGAGAGGTATTAAACCGCCCATTGCGATAGATTTAGAGTGCTTGCGCGCGTGAAGAGAGTTCGCGATACTAGGTTGGCTGAGTGATGGACGACGGCTAACTCAGCTCGCCACCTTTTCGTCCGATATGAGACCAATGGCTGGATGAAATCAGGGCCAAAGTCTACTCGTGAAGTCGATAGTGCGGGTTGAAGTCCAAGAGCCAATGGCAAGCCGGCGCGTTGTTGGACCAAGCAATAGTGTTCGTTGGTGACACTTATGACTTACGCTCAAGTCGAAGTATCAAGGCAGATGCAGAGTTGGCTCAGAAAAGACGAGAGCGACAAGTGAGGGCTGAAGAGGCCAGACGTGTCCGATAAAGCACGAGGCAACGATTCGGGTGTAAGTGGGTTACCCCGAAATGCGTAACAGGCGTTGTACCGGGACTCGGGAACAGTCTCAAGTCGTCTGAACTTTCGTGCAGGTCGCGTGCAGGTCGATGGTTGACCTTAGCACCCAGAATGATCTTCGTCCAGGGTTTGTGTCAGAAGCTGCGGCAGGAATGTTGGGCTTTTCAGACGTCTAGATGTTCCCACGGCGCGGGATTTGCGTGCGGGTGAACCTTTGGGTTTGCAAGGTTATTAGGACGAACTGGGAAACAATGACGTGCCCAGGTAACAGTCGTCGAGATGGTGTAGATCAAGGTCGTAGTACGGATACGTAGTACAGGAAATGGTTCGATTTTTTCCCCGTGATCTGTCGAAAACGGGGAAGCAAGCTGTCTGAGGCTGGAGTTGAGATGAGCTGAAGGTCGAAGAGACAGGAACAGCGAAGCGCCGATCGAGTTGGAGACCAATAGTAAGGATTTGTATGTGGTAGCCAAGTGGTGAGGGTGGCGGCTGAATAGTCAAGACCGAGACAAGGTACACAAGGTGAGACCAGCGTAGGTATCTGAATTAATGACGAAGTGGCCACTGAAGGAGAGGTGGGAAAGCTCAAGTAGAAAAGACGGCTTGAGGAAACTGTCAGTTGAGGCTGATGGTACAGAGTATGGACCAAGGCAGTGAGTGAATGGGTGGGCAGCCGATACGATGCGAGAAACACAACAAGAAACGACGGAAGAGGCTGGGGATCGATCACAGGAAAGATTCCTCGAAAATCAAAACCAGAGACCCTTTGGGCCTGGGGGGATGGGCCGTGTTCAAGTACCTCATGGAGTCATGGATTGCATCCAGGGGAGGTGATTTCGGGACCCCTCAAGCACTCGAATTGGGGATCCGTACGGATACCGTCCACACGTCTGGCAGAGCAGAGCTCGAGCACTTTTCGAGTTTGGTTTGGGTCCTGGGCAGGGTGTTTGCGCATCGACGTTGGACTAGGGAGAAAGGGGGAACAAGCTTCAGGCGTGAGTGGCCTGCGCAATGAGATTTTCTCGTCTCCTTCGAGGACCTGCATATCGAGCTCCATCTCGCTGTGGTGTGTTCCCCTGGCACCGGCGTGGATTTTCCTGTCGACCCTTGCCTCTAACCCTGCTCGTCGTTGGTGCTGCCCATGGTGTTGAACCCCACCCCAATGCAAGTCTCTTGCGTACAAATGTAACTCTGCCCATAGTAGTTTGCGTACCTGGCTACGCGTTGTGCTGCGCAGCCGTGTGCTTTGGGCGAGATTTCAGCAAATCATAAATGGTTCTCTCGGCCCTCGCGTGGATACGCTATGAGCTGCGAGGCGTTGCTTGGTGCGTGGGATGGCTTGAGATGGCTTGGGTTACTCGGGTAGAGTTGTGAGAAACTCGCCCTGTGCAATCTGCAAGGTGCGAATAGTTCCCACCTCGCAGCAGCGCCCTAGTCCGTTAGCCCGTGGACTGGACACGCTAAGTATCCGTATGAGCCTACGAGAGAAAAGATTCAAGACGAAGACGGGGCGGTCGAAGCCATCGAAGTTTGTGGGACTTGTGCGTATGAAGCAGAAGTGCCCGTACCTGAGGCTATTAATTGCATCCCGAGAGCGCCGTAGCGTGTTCTACACGCGATAAGTAATTAGATGCGATTATGAAGCAGGGATGGGCTTCTGTCAGTGTCAGGTCTGGAATTGCGATGGGGGGAGACGGGCGATGCGCGGTCCCGTTGTGGATTGCACGGGATGGACGGAGATGATTCGCACGCCGGTCAACTATTAGATGTCATTTGCGAAGGGAGGTGATGCTGATTAAGACTCTAGACTCCGAGTCACGGCTCACGACACATTGGAGAAACGCCGTCTGTGTCTCGTCAGCAAGGAAGAGAGTTCAAACTTGACGTTGGGACCTCCGGTTCGTTGCTACTCAAGTGTCGAAGGGAAGATTCTTGCACATAGCGCGGCTTCTTGACGACGGGCCAGCTGTTGGTGGAGCATGATGCAAGACGGTTGGAAGACACACGAAACCCTTGCTTGAAAGGGACAAGAAAGAGAAAAAGAAAAAGAAAGCAACCCGAGGAGAGTCGGTAGAAAAGCTCGCAAAGCCTTTCTCTTTTCGTAGCGTATCGGGTATCCGTAGACTTGAAGCAGAAAACCAACGGCCGTCAAAGTCGAATCCACCGTGGGATAACTCAATCAACCAACGGTTTAATTAGGCCGTGGACCTTCCAGACCTTCCAAATGTATTTGATTTCCAGTTCCCCGGTTGGCCGTCGATTCCGCCGTGTTTGCCGCTGGAGTCTTGCTGGGATTGGTTTGAGGCTTTGAGGGGTGACGAGATGAAGAGAGGGGAGCCTCATTGCCCTCACCCTGGGATCTGGGAATCGGGGTTTGGGAACTTGTGCGGCATGCCTCCTTCCATTGGAAAGTGGGAGTCGAGACGTACCTGCACAGCCAGGGACTTCCCGTCGTGCCTGCCTTCCTTTCCTGGGCGTGGTGGACTGGTGACTGGGCGACCTGCTGCCCTGCACCGGAAGCCACGAACCGACAACCGAACAGCGGGTCTTTCCCTCCCAAACCTGTCCGTACGAATACGTACCTAGTGTTGCAAGTCTCAAAGAGGGCAAGAGGCTCCTAAGATGCTCCACGGAAGGCACCATCCCCTGCAGCAGATCTCCATCGTCGTTCCCTTCCTTGGGTTGCTGTCATTTTCCACGCTTCTTTCGCCCCCTGCCTTCCCTGTCGCCAACCTCGTAACCTCCTCTCGCCTCTACGGCTTTTCATTGCACCTTATTGAACATCATGTCCACAAGCAACGCGATGTTTTGGCCCGCCCTGTTCTCAGGAACTCCTCTTCTTGTCCAGGTTCATGACAAGTGACAGCATCACACCCACTTCCACGTTCATAACGCGCAGGTGTGACCCTGCAACACTCTCCATGCCACCATGGGGCCTTCGACTTTCGAACCGTTCCTTGGGAACTGTGGTCCAAGAACCTAGCTAGCCTACGATCTCCCTCTCCTACTCCTTGTGCACTTGGGCCTCCTTCACCTATTCGGGGCCGGCACTCGAGTAATGCAGAAAAGCATGCAATATGACACGCCAGCGAATGAATCTCCGCCGACATGTAGCAATATGCCCCCTTGGGGCCCTGCCGCGGTCCGCCAGCAGCACCGCCCGTCGGTCCCAATAACGTGGTAACCTCAATATGCGGTGCTCCGTACGGATATCCACGTCGGGCACATGTGCCAGCGCCATGGTCCCTTTCTCTACTTCATCATGGAGTGTCTTTCAGTGGGCAGAATATTCCAATGAGTAGTCAAGCTGCCGGGTTGCCATCACTGCTTCTTGTTCTTACGGTGGCCTTGATGCCCGTCCAGACCACAAGAACGGTGAACGAAAGGAATACAAGTGGCAGAAAACTTCTTCCACCGCCACCGGGACTTGGAGGGAAAAGCAAACACGAAGTGCCAACGCAGAGGAAGTGGACGATGCGGATGAGGAAAAGCAATACAATGGGTCAAACTTGCCGCATCAACCCACCCCAAGCCCTTACGCATGAAAGTAAAAAGGATACAAAATCGACAGAAACTATCCCCGGGTGTCTTGGCGCCTATAATCTCGTGTCGCCCTCCTCGACAAATCCGACGCGGTGCATACGATCCAGATAGTTCGTGCTCGTCCTCGTAGTTGCGATTTCAGGGGCGAGCCAGACGCCAGCGAACGACGGTCGTTGTGCCTAGGAGCGAACTTGATCCCAAGGACGAGGCCTCAGCGCTGGCTCAAGGCTCACGGACTCGGAACCATCAAAAATTGGGACTGAAACGAAACATCTCCATCTCCCCCGCTCGCCTATGAGGTCCCCCCAATTCCTCTTCCCATCACCACCACGTTGTGGACATCCGCACAGATCTCCAAGGACTCCAGACGGCATGCACCTCCAATCCCTTATCACGGTTGCAACCGTGGTGCTGCTGCACAATGGACGTCCGTGCCTACACATTTCCGGTTCTCACCGCAAAATCAAACAGTAGTCCGATTCGTCCTTCCAAGTTTGAAGACTTGTCGAAGACGGGTTTTGTGTAGGTGTCGTTCGTTTGAAGCTGAATGCAATGCAACAAGCTTTGAGCATGACATAGGTGAGTAAGTCTCGTCGGGTAATACTGACAAGTGCGACACTCGCCACATGTTTGTTGTGATTAATACCCTAACAAGAACGACAACTCGTGGGATGACTATGGAACATAGGAACAGCCATGCACAACGGACAAGCACGAATTTCTTCCAAAGAAGCAAAATACCTTAAAAAAATTCAGACGAACGTTGTGCTGCACCTAGGCCCGGTCCCTCCTGCAGTAGCGGACGGAAACCACACCACAAGTGCCAGTTGCCAACCGTCAATCGACCGATTCGTGCAGCTTTCGATCCATTCTTCCGTTTGCAACAAATACGCTCAACTTCTCAATGTCGGCGTTCCGCAAAGCTTTTGCCGGGTTCCTCTCTGACCCTGTCACCTCTGGACAGGCTCTGGTCAGAGGCCCTGTCAACTTTGACTCGAGCCCTGCTCGCCCTATCACGATGTCGGCGGGGTTGTGCGCCTTGGATTCCTTGAAACCCCCACCCGACTGCTTATCGTCGAGTCCAGGCTCCAGGTCCAGCGCTGAGGGGTAAAGGAACCTGCGCGCGGGTCGGCTTGAAGAGCAGGGAGACGGAAAGAGAAAGAAAACGGGACGTCTGCTTGGGTGTGATTACGCCTCATTTGAGCGCGAGCAACTGCGAATGGCTTCAGTCTGTCGCGAGCGGTTTCTCTCCATACCCTACCGACCCCGGATCTTCTCTGTCTCTCTCTTGCGTCGCGATGGATACACTAGCCTTGGACAGTACAGAGATCCGGGGTTGTCTGCCACCTGTCGATGATCGACGGAGCTATAAGGAGAGATGTGCTCTACGACATCAGGCCATCTGAACCCTCGAGCTCTCGAGCTGATCAGACAGCGTACGAATAGCTGGGTACACTAAATCTAGCCGACCCAAGTTCACGTACGAAGTACAAGTCCCTGTGCGCACTGAGTTTAGCACTAGATCCTCCATGGTGCGACGGAACCAAGCTTTTTCTTGCGTGCGGCCGGGTGCCTGACAATCCCGCCGTTGCAACCCGCTAGGGGGCGTTCTGTTTTGAGCTTCCTTTGTGAAGTAACATGGTGGGAAAGAAGGTCATTGCTCTGACTACCTACTTGTGCTACTTACACTACTCCGTACTCGTCGTTTCTCTCTCCCCCTCCTCCCCCACGTGGTGGTTTGAGAAATGATCCACGCCAACCTGTAACGATAAACTCGACGGGGAAGGGGGGTTTCTAAATTCTGACCGTGTCGATCTGGCTTGCTTCTATGCGCTACCTGATATAGGTGCGATCGCGGGATCTCACTATGTAGGTCGAATCGCTGGCCACAGACAAATTATATCTTATGGTTTAGATAGTTTGACTTGTAAGACTGCTCGGCCGTATTGCACGAGCATTATAGCTAAGAGTCGACAAGAAGATCACAATTCGGACTCGGAGTGGTAGATAGATACCTGAAGGGAATGAATGCAAATCATCGCCGACTAGGTAGTTGGACGGCCGTTTCTATTTGCGAGTGCTTTTTTGTGCTTCTGCTTCTAAAAATCTTGACCCCACCTCACCGTGATCTATGCGCTCGGTGCTGCAGGCTTGCTCTCCTCTGTAGCTTCCGTTGTCACCGCCGCCTCCGCGGGCTTCTCCCCTTCCGAGACAGCAGCGACAGGCGCCTCGGCAGCAGCACCAGCAGCAGGCGTCTCGACGACCGTCTCTTCCTTGGCCTTCTCCGTGGTGGACGTGGTGGACTTGATGTCCTCGCCCTTCATACCGCCAACGACGCGCAGGCCCTCGGCCCGTGTAGCAAGGTTGTCGAGCTCGCGCTTCCGCGACAGGCGCTTCTGCACCTCGGGCACGAGCGACGCCATGTCGACGAGCTCGCCGTCCTTTTGGGGGTGGCCCTCGGGCAGGCCCAGCTCCTTGATGCGGACGACGCCCTTTTGAACCTCGTCGTCGCCGAGGATGATGGCGAAGGGGGTTGCGTTGGACTCGGCTGCCTTGAACTGCGGCGGCAGCTTGGGCTTGACCTTGTAGAGGAACTCGGCCTAGAGGGAATGAGTGTCAGCGATGTGCCTTCTTTGTGATCGACTGGGAGTTCTTGTAAGTTGGGTCTTACCTTGACGCCGGCGTCCCACAGCTTCGAGCACACCTCGAGTCTCTCCTTGATCAGACCGGCCTTGGAACCCAAGGACATGACAAAGACGTCAACCGTACTTTGCGGCGCCTCGCTCTCGGCCTGCATCCGGGCCTTGGTAATGCTAAAGATTCTCTCGATACCAAAGGAGACCTAAACTGCCTGTCAGTATCCCACGCGATCTCTTGTTTGACTCCTGCGCTCTGACGAGGGGGATCACTTACACCAACGCACGGAATTTGCGTCTTGCCGGAGAACATGCCCACGAGGTTGTCATAGCTGCCATCGTTTGTTAGCGGCCTGAGAACTGTGACCTAGAACAATCTAGTTTTCTTTCTCCTTACCGTCCTCCGGCTGCGACACTGCCGACACCGACGCTGGGGTCGTCGGAGCGGTCGTCGTCGTCCTTGCCCTTGCTCTTCTTCTTGGGCTTCGCCGTCTTGCCGTCTGCGTCGGGGGTAACGGCCGGTGCGGAACCTTCCGTCACGACCTCGTAGATGAGGCCAGTGTAGTAGTCCAGGCCACGGGCGAGGGAGAGGTCAAACGACACTCTGTCGAGGGCGCCAAAGGCCTCTAGGTAGGTGAAGAGAAGCTCGAGGTCGGCCATGCCGGCCTTCATCGAGGCGTTGGCGGCGAGCTTGTCGTCGCGCTGCAGTTTCCGGAGCAGATCCTGCTTGCCCTTCTGAACAACCCACTCGCCAATCCTGTCGGCCACCTCGCCGTCCAAGCCCTTCTCCTCGGTCATCTCCTTGCGCACGTCGGCCCAGGGGAGCTTGTCGAGCTTGTCGACGGCCGATGATATCGTCCGGATCTTGTCCTCGGGGACGCCGCAGACCTCAAAGATACCGTCGAGGATCTTGCGGTGGTTGAGCTTGATGGTGTAGTTTCCGTTCCAACCCAGGCCCTCAAAGACCTCGACGACGATCTTGATGATCTCGGCATCGGGGATCATGGAGTCGTAGGTTCCGGCGATGTCGAAATCGCACTGGTAGAACTCGCGCATGCGGCCCTTGTTCATGGCAGGCTGGTCACTATGAAGAGTATGTCAGCCAGCTGTCGACTGTATTATAGGAAAATGATGTCGTAGATCGTACCGACGGTAGACCTTTGAGATGTGGTAGCGCTTGACGCTCTGAATGTCCTTGTTCATGGCGAGCCATCTCGCAAAGGGAACGGTCAAGTCGTATCGCAGGGAAGTGATCTCACCACCCTGATCGGCTAGGTCGTAGATGAGCTTCGAGTCTTCGCCATACTATAGAAAAGAGTGCTGGTCAGCATCCTGCATCTTGTTGTTGAGTCGAGAGCCCCAAGTGGATCGCGGGGTTCTCGCAGGTGGGGGGAGGGGTAAACACGGAAATATGTCGTACTTTGCCTGACAGAATCTCCTTCAACTCGAAAACGGGGGTATCAAGCTCCATGCCACCGTGCTTCTGGAAGACACCCTTCAGCTGCGAGAAGATCTTCTCGCGGATGAGCATGTCCTTGCCGAACCCTTTGAAGCAAACATTGTGTTAGTCCGCAGCGCATTCCGTCGTACGATGCCGTCTTGGGTCGCAAGAGTAAATATTGACTGACAATCCTTGGTGCCCTTTGGGGTCTTGAGCTCAAACTTTGATTTCGGCGCCATGTTGGGCAGTTGCTGTTCGTGGCTATCGCTTTGGTTACGAGACGACGACAAAGACTTGGACGTGGAAAACGCGCGGCTGCTACTGCTGGGCCTGATGCGGGTTCTAGGCAAAAGAGGGGATGTAATTGGGCTTGGAGAAAGAAAAGTCAGTCGGTAGGCCGGTCGGGCGGACCTCGAGAAAATCTTCACCTGGATCTGCATTCACCTGGCTTCCGAGATCTCGGGCGCTTGTTGCGCGGAGGGGGTACCGACTTCAAAAGGGACAAAAAAAGCGGCGCCGGGTAAACTTGGTTGGGTAGGTGACTCAATCGCAAGTTTTGGAGGGGCCGTATGTACTTGCGACGGGTTTTGGGGGAGGGACGGGGTTTGTGAGGTCGAAAAATGGCTGCAAGGCTGTGACTCGACGGGGATGCACCCCCTTTGCGCCATCCAATGACGTACCGCGTGGGAGGTGACAGATCCCTGCTCGGCGAGGCTGGCTGGACTGGTGCCGCTATGTCATCGAGAGCAACAAATCGACCTTTCCTATGGTACGCGCCGCGTGATAGATACCAAATTTTAATAGAAAGACCCATGAATTATTTCGACGATCTGAATCTAGTCGACTCTGCGCTACTCCACGATTTACGTTGCAATAATCCGAAGTTACACCGTTCGCTGTCAGAAAGATCAAGGTAATGCATATCTTAACAGTATAGGTATTTGGCAGGTATCTATCGCAACAGACATGCTGATCCAACTTGGTAGTCTTGTTGGTTTTTGTAGCACGGCCATAATCACCATCAAGTTGCAACTTCAGCACTTTTGACGGCTGGCCATTGAGTGAAATTTGGCCATGGGTGTGCAACCCAGTTAGGGCAATAAAATGATGACGAGAATCAGTTCTTCTAACATACTTGAATGACGTAGGGATTAAAGCTAGATGTAACAGTCGACAAGCCTCAATATTGCAAGTTTCAAGTCTATCTTGAATCTTAAGCAGTTAGTCCTGTCCACGTGATCGAAACAGAAAGCTAGATAGTCTTCCGGACCAATATTTTCTCGTCACTTCGGTTTTGCGGAGAAGTGCCGCGGAAGCACAATTTAGCTGTTGTCGGGTTCCTACATAGAGTCCGAATCCGATGATGACCCATTTCGCAGTGACATGACAAGGGACTGGCCAGATTGTCACTGAGCAGCCCCCTACCTACAAGTGAGAGAAAGCTTCAGCGGACTGTAGTACCAGCGCAGTCCCATGAAATTTGGCGAAAACCCAATGTCCCGACAGTCGGAGTTTGGTTTCTGGCAGGCAGCAGCAGGCAGAAACTCCGCAAAGGTATGAAGATGAAGAATATGTGTAGGAAGTGTCTGGGATGACGAAAGGTTGTGGCGTAAGCAAAGCGCTACCTGTTCAATTAATCAATCTACTGGAAGTTACCGCAAACGAATTATCTGTCGATAGTAAGCTACCATATTGATAATGCCCCTGTTGTCAGCCACGCTGAAGTAGAAAAAATGAAATGCGAATGGCCAAGTTTCGATGGCATGGTGATGTGTGAAGATGCACGGCCCGTAAATATCGTAAAACAGTTGCCCGGCGCTAAAAAGTGGGACGACATTGACAAACGATGAGAACAACGCCCAGCGCCGTAAACAAGGTACGCTAACCCCCTTTTGGCCCTTTACGACGCGGACTCTCATTGGCTGCGGACTGGCTTGATTGCAAGACACACTTGGATACGCTTATTGCTGTAGGTTTGATCTTCGCAATCAGAACGGCCTCGTTGGTTGATAGGTACCCAGCAAGAATTGATCC